ATAAATAAATTCGTTACTAATTATATAGGGAATAAATGAAATAAATTTAAAATGATCTTCTATATAATAGACTAGGAAAAGCGAGGGATCGTTAGGGTGAATTACTGGCGATTAATAATTATTATTATTACTTTCGTTATTATAAATATTAAAGCGAGCGTCGAAATTAGGTAAATAATTATATTAAAAAGTAGCGTAGGACGGGCGATATAAAGATTTGTATTAATGTATAGATTAGGTTGGGGGAAACGGAATTTCATATTATTATTTAAATTTTAATAAACGATAGTTCGGGTTAGTATATAAGTTAGAAGGGGGCCGTTAATAAATTTCTATAACTTCTTCTAAAATTTGCGTTAATAATTTATAAATTCGTAGGTATATTAAGTAGTAAGTTAATTTAGCGCTATTATAGTAGCGATTAAAATATTTAGGGCTTATTTAGTAGTAAGGAGATAATTGGCGGTTTGGGTTATAGTATTAATATATTAGACGGATTTGAAATTGATTTTAGAATTTAAATTAAAATAAAAATAACCGATAATTATAGTAGTTAAACGCCGGAGATTATAAACTTTTTCTACAAGTTAGTTAATAATAGTACTTTTATTCCGAATAGAAGTATATTTTTTAAAAAGCTTTTCTAATCGGTTATAGGACGCCAATATTAAGCGTTTTGCTTTAGAGATATTAAAACAGATATACTTATCTATATTAATTTTAGCTGAAAGATTATTAGTATTAATATTTATATAGAATTAAATATATTTTAGGATGTTTAGGACGTGATATTAATAAATTTGGAATAATTTAAAGTATTTGTAGGGTATTTGGATTATTGAGGGTTAATTAATAAAATAAATTAGAAATATAGAAAGGATAATTTATAGGATGATAAATTTATTTCTACGTTTAATAACGTATATAATTATTGCTGGAGTCCTTAATTTATTAGTAGTAAAGGAATAGTAGGTTAAAGTAGATAATTACTAAATAAAGGCTGTAGGGGATATTTTCGCTATTTTAGGAAGTAAATTAATATTGACGCGTTGCTAATAAATTAAAGAATCCGGTAGGGAAATATGTATAGGATATTAAGTAAATAGAAAGCTTTTAGCGGGGTTATAAAGGTACTAACGAAGGATACGTTCGGTTTAAGTAATTAGGAAGCCGGTAATTTTAAGAAATTTAATACTAAGAAGCACCGTAGGGTTATTATTAGGTTAGTATTCTTATATAGGGATAGGTTGATTTATATTAATTATAGTCGTAGTATAATTGTTGAAGGAAGGAAAGAGGTAAAGAAGAGGAAAGAATTCTCTAACCCTAGAGAAAGGAAAGACGAATAGTAAATAATTACTCCCTAGTATAGGTAATTACGGCGGGTAAACGTTTAGAAGGCTAGGCGTCGTTAAGGGGGGGAATAATATAATATAATAAATATATTTGTAAAATAATGAATAAGGGCGAAGGGTTGCCAACGAGGGGCCTACTTATACTACGCTAAAGTGTAGCTGATTAAAACCTAAATTATATTTCGAGGCTGAGAGGTACAGCTAAATTATAAGGGACTATAGTTATTAGAGGGGGCGATAATTGTAAGGTTATTACATTAAAGGGCTTAGGAATTAAGCCCGAAGAGTAGAACGTTATAACGAACCGATAAAATTAATAAGGCGGGGCGAGGGGGCTATTATAATAAGTAGTAGCATAGGTACAATAACGATAAAAGTATATAGTCGGAGGCCGGACGCTAGATCCCGGGCCTATTAAGGGCTTGCGTATAAGATAAAAACCCTTATAGCTTGGCCGGACATTCTCTACTGACTAGGCTAAAGTTTACCTTTTAGAATAAACTTATTATCGTATGCTGCGAACGTGTTCTTACCCTATCGTATTGTGACCTTATATATATACCCTCAAACTTATATAATACTAATACTACTATATATATAACAACTAATTTAAAAATCTATATTAAAATTTAAATTTCAACTATAAAAAATAATTTACTATACAATATAAACTACCCTATAAATATTTTATACTACGACTATTATGAATAAATCCCCTATTAATACTTACTATAAAGGATACTAATATATATTAATAATTAAATTTAAATAAGGAATTTAATTTAATAATAAAAACTAAACATTGTACTTACGTAATCCAAAACCCTACCGCCTTACTTAACCGCCGAAAAAAGGCAGCTATTCCTAACCCAAACCTTATAAATTATATATATTAAATATCGGAGCGAAACATTATGAACCCGGAGGTTTACAAACCATACAAACTCGAAAGTAATTAAGTGCTACCCGCCCAACCTGCCCAACTTCAAACTGCTACGCCCGCTACTACTACGCCTATTAACCGCAACTAATATAACAACCGCCATATACTCTCTCACAACAAACCGCCCCGCCGGGTAATATAATAAAATACCCAAAAAGGAAAGAAAAGAAGGGGGAATACATAAAAGGCGTCCCGTACCTACAATAATATTATTCAAAATAACCTACAACGAACCATTGCAAAAGTAACTAATAATACAATTAATAATATAACTAAAATTATTATAATACAATTAACTCCAATTCCAATTCCAACACCCTCTCTAATATTACCGCAGACGGCTCCAACTCCCTCGCCCTTGCCTTTTTACCCTCCAACTCCCTTACAAAGAACTCTAGCGCCCTTCCTGTCTCCCCATCTCCAAATCTAGCAACAAAAACAGCCATCAAAATCTCCCATCCCTAATCTAAGTAATTACTAAAATTAATATAAGAATTAAATACTAAATACAACTAAATTTAAAAGTTCTATACCTACCTGGCTAAAAATAAGAGAGGCTCTTACAACTCATACTACAAATTATCGTACTAAGCCAACTAACTCTATCGTTACTTAAGCGCCTCCCAAAGACCCAAACCTCGTTCCTCCTCCCTCTAATCAACTATAATATAATTCACAAAGCTACATTATACCAACAATACAATATAACCAAACCCCTATAGCTATAATACCACCTCCAATACCTATACAAGGCAGAAGATAAGCGTTAAGAGACTTAAATAGGAAGGTAAATCTTCAACCGCCTCCCCAACACTCTAAGCAACACTTATACAACGGGCATTAAAATCAAAGTAGGTACGTACACTCTAAATATAGGCAGCAAATACAGCATATACAACAATAGAGCTAATATAGAGGACAGCAATATCACTAGCAACCACAATATCAACCGCCTCAGCAATAAACAATTGACTAGATTAATAACTCTGAATAAGTTCATGTAAAAAAATAACACCAATGACATAAATCTGGCGATACGCGGGCATCGATTATATAGCCTCAGTTGCACGCGGTGTGCTAGGCGGCTGGGCTGGGCTTACTCAGCGATAAAAGTGGGTTTATACTAGCCACGTAGCAATTCTATACTAGCCATGTAGCCTTTGCGGAACAGATGAGGTCACTTCATGCTACGTTGTAGCACTGAGGCTGATGATGATGTAGATCGCATGCCCGAAGGATTGTTATTCCTTCAACTTTGCTCAGTGCCATGAGGAAGTCTCTGTTGACCGAGAGGAGTCATTGCATTCCAGGATCACTCGCCTCGATCATAGATGGAATTCAATATGAAATCATGCTCCGGCCGGCTTGTGGGCGAAGGATAAGACGTGCCGTCTTGGCCGCCAATCGCGGAAGGGGAGAAACGCCGACGGGTGAAGAAGGTTGAGAACGGTTGCTGGGCGAGCTGGGTTGGAGAACTGGAGATCTGAAAAGTGGAGACTCAGGTACCCTGAAGACCTCCAATTGCCAGCCGAGGTGCGGTTACTAGGCTGGTCCACTGTGGTTGACCCTTGCAGCATACCGAGCCCAATGCGTCAAACGCCGCAGGCTTCATACGCGCTTTGATTGGTCTACCCCTGACAGTGACCAATCGGGTCCCGGTTCATCTCCGCTTTTAAATTTGAAGGTTCTGCCTCGCACCGACTCGCAACTCGCCAGGCTCGCAAATGCCCGTGAAAGGGGACTTCTGGACAAGACTCGTCCAGGTTCTACGCGACCAACGATCTTCGGCGCTCGAGTGCTTCAAGTTGTCTTGCCTGGTGATGTGATTGAGACGGCTCTAGCCACTCAGTTGACGGCGAAGGCAACTCTAGATCTGCCTGACCCTCGTTTGTTTGGCTTGTCTGGGTTGCCTCTTCAACGTTGACCGTCCTCCGCTGGGATCATGTGCGCACCTTCCACCCATTCTTCTGGGATAGAGATCGACCCCCGGGACGGGCAGTCGACAGGCTACACAGAGATCCCAAACACACAGCATCTCGCATCATGTCCATTCCAATGTCTTGCCGAGCATCTTCAAGGACAACGGACGTATTTCGTCCAAATTACCAAAGGATTCTCTTCCCACGCCAGAGAAGTGTCAACCCCACAGCATGAAATGGTGAAACTGGAGCGCTTCTAAGGTTACCCGCCCAGCCCGTCCATGAGGATCCCCTTCCCAACGGATTCCTTGGGACCCTGGACTGCCTGGCCGAAATGAAGGGACCCCATGGATATCCAGATTCCTGAAATTCCGTGGCTGCAGAGGAAGCCTGGGCATCAGAAAGTGGGAAAGGGGGGTGTGAAGGGTTTCATTGGCGCTGTAAGCTTGTCTATTTTGTATGTCGTTGGTGCAGCGTTGCACCGCGGAAACCTTCACTTGTCCCATTTCAGTATTTTCTCATATTTCCGCCTTTCTCCCCCTCCTCTTCGCACTCCCTTCGTCCTTCCATTCTTTTCTGCCTCAGCTCGTGGTCATCGTCGCCGTTGTCACTCATTTACAACATATATACAACAGTCACTCATTCATTCAGTCTTATTCTTCACTGCCTCTGCAGCCTTTCGGTCTTTTTCAGATTTCTGTCATCGAACCATTTAGTGGCCAAGTTCCAGCAAAAAGTCATCACATTTACCAACCAAGTCACCAACTCGATATAACCATCAAGATGCGTTTCTCCGTCGCCACCGTCCTCGCTATTGCGACCGCCGTCTTCGCCCAGACCGATGGCTTTGATGTCATCTCCAACCCGTATGCCGGCGAGAAGGTGCTTGCTGGCCTGCCCTGTGAGATCCAGTGGGCGCCTTCGTCCCAATACCAGGGTACCGTCCGTATCGATGTCCTTGGGGGCACCACCCCTCAGACGTTGAACAAGGTTGGAACTATTGCCTGTGAGTAGCCATGGCCCTAATCACGTAACCAGAAGAAGAGTACTAACCAAGATCTCTCAGCGGGCGTTGACAGCAGCAAGGGTTCTTACAAGTGGAACGTCGACGCTCACCTTGGCACTGCCAACACCTACGGTATTCAGATCACCTTGGAGTCCAATGACAAGGTCTTCCAGTACTCGTTCCCATTCCACATCATTGGCGGCCTTGTCGACGACGATGCCACCACCGTCGCTGTTCCCACCACCGCTGCCGCTGGCACCGCTAAGCCTCTGACCGTCGCCGCTCCTGCCACCACCAAGGCTGCCATCGCTACCACCAAGGCCTCCGATGCCGCTCCTGCCACCACCGATGCCGCTACTGGTTCCGGCTCCGGCTCTGCCGGCTCTGCCAGCGACGCCTCCGCTTCCGGCGCCGTTTCCTCCTTCAGCACCGTCGTCAGCGCCAATGCCTCCGTCGTCGCTTCTGCCACCTCTTCTGACGTCGTCGCTACCGCTTCCGCTTCTTCCACTGGCGCTGTTGCCACTGGCGGCGCTGCTGCCTTTGGCGCCAGCACCGGTGCTCTCCTCGGTAGTGTCGCCATGGCCCTCTTCGCCCTCTAAAAAAGAACGTTTTTGGTCGTCTTGATACCCAGCGTTGGAAAAGGGTTGTTTTTGTCTTGTTCGAGTTTGCATCTGCTCGGCATTAGGATGATACCAGCTGGTTAGTTGAAGAAGAAGGGCATAATTTAGACCCGGGAAGGAGAAAAAGCATGGATTGCACTTGAAATATCCCGGACATCTTGTAAATGATCACTGAGACCTCAAAGTCATTAATCGAGCGGAATCTGCTTCATAAAAAAACAGAGATAACGACGTATAGTCCTGGTCCCCTTCATTGGCTCGATTGATTCGGTGTGATGTGCGCGTATGTCGATCTTCGATTGGGTGAATAAATCTTCAGGTGTCAGCCTTCGTTGGCGTATCATCAATGACGAGAGATATGATTTGCTAGAGAGTGTGCGACGACGACGACGACGACGGCAAGGTGCTGTCAACACGTTGGCGGCCTTTCTTTGGGTGTCCTGGTATCGCCTGAAGACGAGATATGGCCTTCGCTAATGTTCGCATGGGGGTTGAGGATGTCATCGGTTTCGCCTGAAATGGTTTCCAATTTTGAATGTTGACTTGTCGGCGATCCGTCTCATATGAGAGACTTCAAGATATCTCGAGTGTATGTTCTGTAGACGAGAGTGACAAGTCGACTATGTCTTCTCAAAGACTTCGTTCATTTCACATCCGCTGTCTCGGTGGGTTGGTGCAATGCCCTAAGCTCCGGCATCTCCATGTAGGTTGATGAACGAAATTGTCTCATATGGAGGCTCTGGATGGTAGTGCGTGGTTCCTTGCATTCATTCCGTGTTGTGCATCCTCATCCCGACTGAAGTTCCTCAAAGCACGCTGCGCGGGTGATCTCCAAATATGTAAGCACAGACCACAAAAGCTAAAAGATGCCAAGCCAAGCGGTGAGACGAGAGAGTGCCACATGTAGAAAAATGCGGGGGCAAATGAAAAAGGGACTCGGAAGTCGCGGTGACCTTTCAGCTGTGCGTGTAGATGGGAACAGTCCCGCAGACAACACAGCTGCCATCAACTGAACCTCTTGCTTCGTCTGGAGTCTGGCCCGCCAAAACCCTCCACGAGCCCTCCACTGTTGACAAGGACTAGCCGCCAACCTCGAAATCCCATCAGCCAGCCAAATCGCCAGCCCCGTACACTACAGACCTCGCTCTAGTACCCGACCTCCTCTCTCTCCGTCTTCTGTTTTATTTCGTTGCTGCCCGCGCTGCGCGCTCTTGACTCCGCTTTTCCTTTAGACATCACCAAATAATTCATATCCCGAAGCAAAGATGAGAGGCGAGGTAAGATATGCGCCCGTTGCCTACACCTCGCGATCCTTAGCACAGACAGCATGACCCTGGAACGGGACCCGACCCCTATTCCGCTGCCGTTGGACAGCAATCCCATGGTACCCAAGCAACGAAATCAACGACACGCCCCTCTGGAGCTGGGAACGCTCGCGACAACGACACGCGCCGATGACCACAATTGAGGATTATTAAGCTCAATTGAGTATTATTAAGCTCGACAACTCGGATTGCCGCTACTATAGACTGGATCACGACATCCAGCGTTACACGCCAGCTGTCGAACACCCGGGTCCCACGTCGAAGTCCTGATATACCACCTCGCACGCCCATATAGCGCATCATGGAATTATCTTACCGCGAGCACAAGTAGCTGATACAGCTTCAAACAGGTTGTTCACATCCACTTGGGCCAGGCCGGTACCCAGCTCGGTAACAGCGCCTGGGAGCTGTAAGTGCTCAACACACCGCTATGCTTTTTGGTGTCGCCTTCTCTAACACATCTGCTCTTCTAGCTACCTCCTTGAGCACGGTCTTACTCAAGATGGTCGTAAGGATCCCGACTCTACCGTTGCCGGTGAGGGCGGGTCCTATGATACCTTCTTCACCGAGTCCAGCAACGGCAAATATGTCCCTCGCTCCCTCTTCGTCGATCTTGACCCTTCCCCGATCGACGAGATCCGTACCGGCCCCTACCGTCAGCTTTTCCACCCTGAGCTCTTGATCAGCGGCAAGGAGGATGCTGCCAACAACTACGCCCGTGGTCACTACACTGTCGGCAAGGAGATGGCCGAGAACGTCCTTGATCGCATCCGCAAGATCACCGGTAGGTTATCTTCTGCCCGTCTACGGCGGGTAACATATTTCTAACCGGGTATGGACAGACAACTGCCACTCTCTTCAGGGTTTCCTCGTCTTCCACTCCTTCGGTGGTGGTACCGGTTCCGGTTTCGGTGCCCTCGTCCTCGAGCGCCTCGCTCAGGACTACGCCAAGAAGTGCAAGCTAGAGTCAGTCCTTTCCTCTTTCTTTCCAATGGTGTCAATGGGTCATCTTAGGGGATGAATTGGTCTTGTTTGAAACGTTGGGATCTGGACTTTTAAACCTTGGTGGTCTTTTGAAGATGGTGCCTGAACTCTCTTGAAGTTCGGTCATCCAGACGAAAAGACCGGGTTGGGAGACTCAGAGCCGCGTTTGGAACAAGACCGATGTGCCCCAACCCTTTCATGGAGGTCACTCTTGCTCACAGCATCCTTGGTACAGGTTCTCCGTTTACCCTGCCCCTCGTGTCGCCACGGCCGTCGTTGAGCCCTACAACGCCGTCCTCGCTACCCACAGCACCCTCGAACACAGTGACGTTACCTTCCTTGTCGACAACGAGGCTGTGTATGACATTTGCCGAAGAAACCTCGATATTCCTCGTCCCAGCTACGAGCACTTGAACCGCCTGATCGCCCAGGTCGTTTCTTCCATCACCTCGTCCCTCCGTTTCGATGGTGCTCTCAACGTCGATCTCAACGAGTTCCAGACCAACTTGGTTCCTTTCCCTCGTGTCCACTATCCTCTTATCTCTTACGCTCCTGTTATTTCGGCCACCAAGAGCGCTCACGAGAGCTTCAAGACCTCTGAGCTTACCCTCCAGTGTAAGTGGAACCTTGGCATTCTGGTCAGCAATATCCTTGCGATCCCAGACACTGACATATTTGTGAATAGGCTTCGAGCCCAACAACCAGATGGTCGTCTGCGACCCCCGTAACGGCAAGTACATGGCCGTCGCTCTGCTTTACCGTGGTGATGTTGTCCCTCGTGACACTGCCGCTGCGGTCGCTGCGCTCAAGGCCAAGTCCTCCTTCAACCTCGTTGAGTGGTGCCCCACTGGTTTCAAGATCGGTATCAACCACCAGAAGCCCATGTCTGTCCCCACTGCCTCGCCCGCCGATGGTGGTCTTGCTTCTGTCGACCGCTCCGTCTCCATGTTGTCCAACACCACCGCCATTGCTGAGGCCTGGTCGCGTCTTGACCACAAGTTCGACCTTATGTACAGCAAGCGCGCCTTCGTCCACTGGTACGTCGGTGAGGGTATGGAGGAAGGCGAGTTCAGCGAGGCCCGTGAGGATCTTGCTTCGCTCGAGAAGGATTACGAGGAGGTCGCTGGCGACTACAACGATGCCGATGTCGATGCTGAGTACTAAGCGGTTGCTTTTCCTATGGTCATACATGGCGCCATTGTTGGGTCCAGGGCGGCTGGGTCGGTTGATTCCGGGAGCTGGGTGTCATGGGTTGTCTTCTGTACACATCACAAGTCGGAAACAACAGCGCAGCCCAGGTAGGCCCTTGACAACCAGCACCTTGGTCCCATAGTCTCACACGAAACGAGCGCGGAGTTAGGAAGGACTAGACGAGAACATGACGACTTATGTAATTCCCCCTTTTGAAAGCACATATACATACCCACCCCTTTAATCTTGACCTTGATTGTAGACCAACAAAATGTAGAAACTTTGTTCACCTAAGGAGGCGTCAGCCTGCGCTGCTCAGAAGAGGCTGTAGAGCTGGAGTAACACATAGAACGAAAGAGAAAAACCAGAATAATACCCAAAACCTTTCAAGACTTGAAAAGACAAGTCATTGCAAAACGCGAAGACAGACCAGGACAAGCCACACTGAGGGAGACACTGGGTTAGGTCTTGCCAGAGGCGTTCAAACGAGGGAACACCATGACTCTCAACGGCTGTTGACAGTTTTTGACTGGTTCCTTTGCGACAAGCCCCTTGTTTGAATTCTTAGAGGACGTGATTGAAGCAAGTCGATCGGATATGGGCGAAAAAAGGCGTTAATCCAGCTCAATGCTAGAAAATGTCCGTCCAATGCACATCGTGCCGCAACTCGGCTCATCTCATATCGATAAATAACGGAGACAAACATTGCAGCATTAAACAATTTCAGGTACCAAATCGTACCGTCACTCGGTACCTACACTCAATAACGTGCAGAGCGTCAAGCACGACGCAGGAGCACTGGACACTTTCCTTTGAGAGATGCCTTTAGATGCAATGGCCACATTAGAGTCTATTCTATCCGTACATGCGTGCGTCTTGGACCGAACGCTCCTCTTCATCCTTGAACCCCATTGCTTAAAGCTTAAACCACGGACCGCCACGGCACGGCACCGGACCGCGCCGCTGCGGTTGGCTCCATGCTAGCAAACACCCTTACCCCCTGGCGAAATGCCTAGGTAGCCCTTATTTCTTTCCCTTCCCCTGAACCTTCCACTTCGAAGCCCTCGCCGCAGCACGACCAGTCTTCTTCTTACCACCACCCGCATTCGGCGCCTTGTTCTTCCTGGCGCCCTTAAACTTGAGATCCTTGGGCTTTCCGTCCGCGGCGCTGGCACGCTTACCCTCGAGGATGAAGCTCTCGGGGGATTTGTAGGCGCCCGGCACTCTGGGGCCGGTCGCCTCCGTGTTGGCGCCCGAGGCGTGATTCCTCCTTTGGCTGGCCTGGTATCTGTCCTGCTTGTTGAACTTGTTCTTCTTGTCGGAGCCGATGACCTGTCTGGCGGTGAACTTGCCGAGAAGCTTCTCGGCGCGGCCGGCGATGGTCTTGGCTTCGGCCGAGATCTTGGGGGCGTAGTCGGATTTCTTGGAGCCAGGGCCCTTCTTGCCGTTGCCGCCCTTCTTCATGGCCTCAGGCGCGGC